CTAACAAGCATTTTGAATGGTAATACTGAAAGATTAAATATTTCTGATGAAGTTACCCAACTGTTGCTTTGTGATGTGTCAGCAAATAGAAAGTTGCTGGCTGAAAGCTTTGTAAAAGCAGAATAGAAGCTGATTAATCATAAATGTGATGTAAACAAAGTAGTGCATGTGAAAAGATAGATCCTGGAAGTGGTAGTGAATTTGGTCCTGTTTTGATTTTTATATTGTTTGTTAAATGAATTCATACATTTGAAGAGTATAGTGAACATTATATTCTGTTAGGCTTAATTCTGACTGTGGCTGTTTCTCTGCTGACCCAGACAGTACCCCTTGACCGTAGCCATAGAAGCTGACAAATTGACTAGTTCTGCGTGGTAAACATGACTTAATGCAAGTAAGGTTTTCCTCTTAGGTGTCCAAAAGATGAGTTGTCATTAAACACTTTTTAATTCCTTTTGTAAGTATAACCTGTGTGTGTATCTTTTTGAATACTAAATTTTTCTCCATTTTTATTCAGCATTGTATTTTGACTCTTAGTGTGTGTTGAAGTATTTTTCTTCTAGTTACAATATGGTAAATTGATAAAACCAGAAAATTCCAGATGGAGATCTGGCAGTTGCAACTGAATCTCTCAGACTGTAAGAACTGATAAGAGTTTTCACAGTGTGGTAGTTGTCATCTATGAGTTTTTATTTTCCTGAAAGTTGGCCATTGAAATATACGAGGATAATGCCTAGTTGTCACACTTTTAGTCAGCAGTGATTATGTATGTCTACAGTGTTTTGCAGCCTGAAGGTTATAAAAAGTATGGGGGGAAAAAGCACAGCTAAAAGAAGGTTCAGTTGAAGGCTTCTATCTGGCTATGGCTAACCTATCTAAAAGGAAGTTTCGTGTGAGGAATTCTGCTGTATATTGAAGGGTCTGGCTATGTTTTGGGATTTAATTTCTTTATTTAGTGTACTTACATGAAATACAAATGCAATCTCATTTATTAAACACAATGTATAACTCAAGATTATTTTTTTTATTTCATTTTTGGTATGGAAAGGTAAAGCAGTGAAGAAAGGTGGTGGTACTTGTGCATATTTGCCAGAATGATAAAACCACAGTTTTATTATGTAGCCATATTTTTTTTTTTTTAGAACAGATGATGTTTAGCCTGATCATTATTAAAGCTCTTGTATGTGCAATGTGGCAGAAGAATCTTTTAAAAGCAACTATCTGAACAGAAGTTTTTAGCATAGGTATGGTTTAACCATTTATTACAAGCCATCATTTGTCACAATGGTTGTTGATCTTCCTTGTAGTTCCAGATGTGCTGCTGTGGCATTTGTTAGAAAATAAGAGCTTTGTAAAGTTACTTGTTAGTATTTGCTTGTCACTTATGTAACTCATAGCAGAAAATAAAATGTTTTCTCTTGTTGAAATACTGGATATATTTTAAGAAGAACTTAGTCTGAAAGTTACTTTCTGAGTGCCTTTGTCACAAAGGAAAAATACAGGAGACGCCCAGAAAAGAAGGAATGTCTACCATGGCCTAATAAGTAATACAGAAATTATGAATTTAATCTATTTTATCAGTTCTATCTAGATATGGGAATAGTATTGCTTATGTCAGTAGGATTGCAGTGCTATGAGAGAAAAACATGCTTTTGCCAATTGTTATCTCTACACAACTGAATTTATCTTTGAGAGTTCTGTTTTCTACTATTAGAGAGTTGTTTTATGCAACTAGTTATATTAAAGTATGTTGCACTTCAGCACTTTGAGGCTGCGATAATATACACATTATTTTTCATAATAAAGTTGATAAAAATCCATGTTTCTGCACCAAAACTTTTTGCAGCGGTGCCTTTTCAAATACTGACATCATTGAACCAACTTACAAAACTTTCCACAGTCTCTTCCAACAACGCAGTGTGATAATCAAAAAGTTAGAAGTAATTTTAATAGTTTAAATTGGCATCGGTGGAATTTACTCCTCATAGATATTCCACTGAGCTCAGTTTTGGCATGTTTTCCAGAGATATGGATAGCAGCAACACATGTCTGTAGACTTTTGAGTACAGCTTTATGACGTTTTGCCACCTTCTTGTCTAAAGACTGTATGTAGAGAATAGCATGTGATGAAAACTGCTGGTTTTTATTTTTTTTGTTTTGTTTGTTTGTTTTAATCTACTTTCTAAATGCAGTGAAAAAAGGGGTAAATTACAGTAAAAGAGCTCTAAATGATGAGGCAATGTAGCGAGAGGGGAGGAAAAATTGCAAGTTTTTCCTAGGTGCAGTTCTGTTCTTTATAAGAGTAGTGTACTTAGACTACACACACACTGAAAATTTGCAAGATGCAAAAATTGGGGAAAAATATGCTCTGCAAATATGCTGAAATTTGTCTGAAATGTACTGGAATTTGGAAATATTTTTATATCCCATAACATCATGTGTGCAGCTGCCATATTGAGACTATCACTGTTGTTTCTTGACAAGATTTTAGCTTATTTAATAAATTATGCTTCAGATTGTCTGTAAATGCACATGTAGTTGTACGCTTCCTAATATCCAACTTCTGTGACTATCCTTACAGATCTACTTGAAATTTAAGGCATACTTGTTTATTTGTATCTTTTGCTTTGTAAGCATACAGTTATATGAACTACTACATGTCTTTTAATCTGAATATAAAATTTCATGTTACTTAGGTGAAAGAAGGCATAATGCTGTATTTTGTTTTTAAAATAGATCCACTACGTTGAGTTATGTTAGAAATAAGTCCTAGAGGAATCAAGGTGGATAGGCAAGCAGGCAGTGATATTGCTGAAGGAGGTCCTAATATAAGTAGGTTTATAACGTTTAAGAGTGTCAGGAGATTTATTATGTTTTTAACTTTATTCAATCCAGGACTAACAAAAAGTATAGGGCAGCTAAGGAAAGACTCTCCAAGGTACAGAAATAAGCAGGAAAATCTTGATGCTAGCTCAGTCTGTATGTGTTCATTCAGTTTTTCTGCCAGAGGTTATGCTTACAATTTGTTTGTTTGTATGTGAATGTATCATGCTTTTATGACTGTGAATTAATGGCTATGTTTTGTAGCCATTCAGAGTGTCGTTGCATGCTAATGCAGAATAGAGAAGTTTCCACTCACCTTTCCCGCAAAGGTGTGCTGGTACCCACAGTCCTTTTAGGATAGTTGTTTTTGGGAGTGCTCTTCTGTCTGTTTCAGGGACAGTTTTCTAGTTAAATAGTTAATTATAAATCAAACCTGGAAATTGTGCCTTAAATAGAGCTTCAGGTTTGCTAACAGCTGGAGGAATTTAAGTGCTGTAGCCATTCAAAACCTGGAAGTATCTCCATAACCTTAGGCTGTCAGAGGCATGCTTTGTGGTAACAGAAGCTGGCATCCAGTGTTCTAGTGTGAGTGGCTGGACCATGTGGAGGTGCAGAAAATCAAACTTCCTGTGTTCACTGCACTTTATGGAAACCTAAATAAATCTGAGGGGTGCTACCCATAATGGCCAGAATTGCTTTAAGGTAATGTGCCCTAGGGTGTAAATGAAGCTTATCTTGAATACATAATTTTTCATGGTCAGGAAAACAAAGTATTCTCTATATGATGGATGTATTTGCATTGTGTAGCATTTGTATGTTCTGTTGAAATACAGGGAATCTTTGAAATTTGCTAGCCTTTGTTTGTGCGTATGACCAACAATAAGGAATGTTTTCCTTCCAAAAAACTGCAGGAAAGAAAAAGGGGCAAAGTAAAAACAGATGCCAAAGTAAGCAGCTGTTGGTACATTTAAAAGACAGTTACAGTGAATCAGGACACTGTTAGAGTTCTCTTCACCATTTCCATGGAGACCTAAACACTGCAGTTCTCAGTGCCTCCAAAAAGTGATCTGTTGCCTGTGGGTTTTTCCTTGGCTTAGTTTTTTCCTGCCTTAGTTACAGTAAGCATGTGGCGGAGTCCAAGAACTCCAAGAACGGAGTCAGCACAAGGGAAGTGGTGGCAGCAGGCAAAGAGGTAGAATGGGGAACAACAGATTCCGGGCTGAAGCCTGGTGTTCCTGGAGGTGTTCTGTTATTGCAGTTATCTGTATTTGATATGGCCCTAATATTTTGTTTTCCTACCTGTCTAGAGTTCGATTTACTTTCGCAACCTAAACGTTTTTATAACAATATGCTACCTGGCTGACTTTCTTCAAAAGGATTTTCAAGTTGACTCTGTGACTGTTTCTTAGAGATACCCTACAAATAGGGCTTAGAAAACTTGGTCACCTGATTCAGACATATTCTCAAGGCTTTCTACACTCTAAATATTTGAAAGAAACATATAACTTTAACTTGCTGTTGGTTTTCACCTGGAAAATAGTCTCCAGTGTGGCAATATTTAATCATTATCTCTACAGTTACTCATTTTCATTATTTCCCTTCTTCTGAAGAGGCACTTGTAATGGTAAAGTGTGCTTCAGCTTTGCTTAGCAGAATCTTGCACATCTTCCTTCAAATACTGAACAGTAACCAATCCAATAGTTAGATGTTTTATTCATAATAAAGCCTTCAAAAACCTGTATGATCTTCACTCAATTAGGCTGTTTGCTATTGCTTCTGTATTATGTCCAGCACACCTGATGTCTATATGGGAAAGAAAAGTACACATTCTGTTTCTTACGTAGCAGGGTGCTCACTGAAGATTTTAACTAAAGGCATTATAGTCTTGGTACAGTGTTAAACTTCATAATAATTCAAGCTATGGTATTTGTGTGCATTGATTTAGTTGCTTGTATAGTTTCAGATTCTGAAGTGTTTTTCTAGAACCAAAAGGGACTACTGCAGTGCAACAGAATTAGATTAATTTTTGAGGAGGAAAGCAGTTCAACAACCCCAAATCTCCTTCAGATTTTCATTTTTTAATGACTCGGTCTCACCCTGTGAGAAATAAAGCTCTCCAGCTAGCAAATTCCTTTCTCTTGAGTCAAACTGCTCAATTCTGAAATCATTAGTGACACATGCGATTCAGTGAAATCAGCAAGACTGTGTTCGGTAATTAATACTTACAATACAGGTTATATTGAAAATTCCTGTTTAGTTGTAGATGAGATAGTAAATTTAAAATGGTGGGAGAACGGGCAATTGAAGGCACAGTACCCTGAGAAGGGAAGAAAAGGGAGTGTTTTAAAACTGCTGGTGCTTTTACAGCATTTTCTTCCTAGATATTTTTACATTTGAATTAGAATTTTAGTAAATAGAGGAGAAGGAGAAAACACTTACTCCTCATTTAGTATTTCCTAATCCTTCTATAGAAGTCTTTCAGCATTAGTGTTTTGGAGGCATGGGAATTGGTTACTCATCACTGAGATACAGTGAACAGATTTTGCACTGAAACCTGACATTAACAGAACTACTCACAGTACATAATTCAGTATTGCACATGTCTTTGCAGGATTGGCTTTTAGACTTCCGAAACATTTAGAAGTAATAGCAGGGCTTTTGAAGCTTTCTGTTGCATTTCTTACTCTGTGGGTTGCAAGTAGCGTCTGTTACTGTGTCTTATAAGTCATGTTTCTGGTTTGTTTCTGACAGTATGCTTTTATAATAATGTTTGTTATGCTGTATTTGAGAGGATATGTTTTTGTCTGGTCTGCACTGTTAAGCCAAAAAAAACCAAAAAACATTTTGGGGTTTTGAAAGTAGAATTACAAATTTATGGATGGGTATCAGTAAGGACATACCTCCCAGGTAGGCCAAGGGTTATGGAGTAGTCTTTTCTTTATGCAGGTTTTAAGTATGTTGTTTGGTTTCTTTGAAGTTATGAGACTGAATTTTATGTGTGAGTTGAAATCAGCAATGACAAAAAGATGCTAGTTAGCTTTATCTCATTGCTTAGGAGTCATAAAGTACAGTATCTAGATCTGAGGAACTAAGTTGAATGTACTTTTTATTCTCTTTTGTTTTACAGAGGCCCAGAAGACACAATAAATGATTGTAAAATCCTTTTTATAGAGGAAATGTACAAGATTGAACAGCCAGGAGCCTATCCATTGACATTTGGGGATGGAGATTTCAAAAGTATGCTTTTTAAAATTATTTTAATATAAGTACAAATTGAATGACGTTTCTTTAAAAAAAAACCAAAAGGATCAGCGTGTAGAGGTAATAATAATTGGTATGCATGTTCAGAAAAATAATATAGAATCCTTTTTGGTTTTCTGTTCTAAAAGTGTATTTACTATAAAGTGTCTCTATTACTTGATGTATTCAGAAACTGTTAACATCTTAGTGCTATCAGTCTTAAGCAGGGAAAAAGGAGAACAGCTGATAACGTTCTAAATGACTGCTGCAGAATGAATTTGTAGTCTCAGTTAAGTTCCTAGACAGCTGTCCTTGTTACCAAAACTGCTACTGCAATTGAAACATCAATTGCACTTCTAATAAATTGATAAATGCCAAAGATAGATCCAGTCTGTAATGCTGTGCTTTAACCCTGTCACTGTGTCAGAATTAAAGAAAAAAATAAATAAGGAACTTAATGCCCAAACTGCTTGTAGCGTGAACACAAGGGATGATTAATATCTGAATTATTACTTGGCCCAGCATGACATTCTAAAAAAATAACTGTGTCCTACCTCTTCATCCTCCCCACAACCACAGGAAGGAGTTCGTGGCAGCTTACCTAAAAAGAAGTGTGACGTTTTATCCTAGGTTAAAAAATACAGGAAAGTTAAAATGATAACCATTTGTGATAGTAACACAGATCTTCTAATAGGTATTAGATATTATTGTGTATTGACTACTTACTCCAAGGCAGTTTTTAAAAACCTTTCTTTATAGCTTTCAGTGTACAAGAAATATTCTGCTTACTGGTTTATTTGCTGTCATCTAAAAAATCAGTTTTTGTCAGAGGAGCAAATGCCATTTGCTGTGGTAGTCTTAAAAGTAAAGATGGATTTCTGTAAATGAACTTCTCACAATTTTTCATTATTTGTGATTTACTTAGATTACTCAAAACAAAATAACTATCCGTTCTGTTTATTTTTTCTTTGTTATATTAAAGAGGTTTTGTAATATCTTAAAACATATTTTTATTTTCAAGAATTGTATCAAAAATTTAAAAATCTGCTTTGCATTTGAATACCTATTTTGCAAGTCTAATTGTGTAGCTTTTTAAAGGGCATATAAAATTATTGCAGTTCATTTACTTCCTCCCTGCAGCTACTGTGCAGTGAATTAATTTTTTAAATTATGTGTGTGTTAAGGAAATGAATGATTAATGTATTGCTGACCATATAAAGTTGTCTACAGTAGCATCATTTGACCTGACATGAGTATTTATTTATCATGGAATTGTAGAATCGTTTAGGTTGAAGAAGACCTGTAAGATCATCAAGTCCAACTGTTAACACTGCCTTACTTAATGTTTTCAGTCCACCAATAAACTATGTCCATAAGCACCACATCTACACGTCTTTTAAAAATTCCAGGGATTGTGACTCCACCACTTCCCTGGGCAGCCTGTTCCAATGATTGACAACCCTTTTGGTGAAGACGTATTTCCTAATATCCAATCTGGTGCAATTTGAGGTCATTTCCTCTGGTTCTGTTGCTTATTATCTGGGAGGAGAGACCAGCCCTCACCTCACTACAACCTCCTTTCAGGTAGTTGTAGAGAATGATACCATCCCCCTTGAGTGTCCTTTTCTCCAAACTAAACACCCCCAGTTCCTTCAGCCACTCCTTTCAGGAATTGTGTTCTCTAGAGCCTTCACCAGGTTTGTTGCCCTTCTTTGGACACACTCCAGTGCCACACTGTCTTGCAGTGAAGGGCCCAAAACTGAATGCAGTATTCAAGGGGTGGCCTCACTTTCTGTATGTCCTAAGCTGATTACAACTTTTATTGTTTCAAAGTCCGTCTCTTTATTTCACTTACAGCTCTTACAGCTGTTTCCTGGTTTGTAACCTCTTTGCTTAAGTTGGTCCCATATTGCCATGTGTGTAGAGATTTGTGCTTCTGTGTATGTTTATTCCATTCTGTTCCTGGTCCCATTTTTATTCATTTCAGGATATGGTTTACAAACCTTCATAAATAAATGTAATACAGAAGTACAGTCTTTAAAGATGTGACATTGAGAACTTAATGTTTGTGGCTGTTTAGCCTTATTTGTTGTTTTGAGCTGCTCTTTTTTTGCCTGAGGCCAACTTTCTCACTGCACTGCCCTTTTCAGTTCTCTTCATGTGATTCTGATTTTTGGTCTTGGTTCAGTTACACACAGTGCTTATCAGTTGAACTGTGTGTCATAAGCAGTATACTCTTTACTTCTGAACTGAACTTACATCCCAGTTTGTACTTTGTATTCAAAATTTTAAAATATATCTATAAACACACGCAGCTACCATAGCTTACATGTTGTGAAAACCTGCGGATTTTTGTTACAATAATGGCAGATTAAATTCAAGGAGTTAATTGGCCTTAACTACTGTAAGAGATTGTTGTAAGCACAATCGGAAAATGACTTGTTGTGGTTTTGTCTATATTTAGCTACTGTCTGTGCCCTTTTCAAAAGATAGAATGCCTGCTTTGGAAAAAATCTTCATCAGATAAACAACATAGACTGCCTCTGCAGAAAAATTATTATTCCTTGAGGATGGCTATACATTAGTTAGGTTTTGTATGTGTAAATTAGATAAAAAATGTGTCTGACATGTCAGTGTATGTTTAACAGTTACGAAGTTGCTATTTTCAAATTACTTAATGAAAAGCCCAGAAGTAAGGTTAAAGCTATTAGAAAGGTATATTAGAAAATGAGAAAACTAAGAGGCAACATACTTGTAAATACATTTCAGCTATTTATATGCAAAATGGGAATAAGAACTAGGTATCAACATATATTACTTTTATCAGAGTCAAAATCTGCGCTATGAACGTAAGATAACTTCTCCTGCAAAAGAAGAGAATATGAAATGATACAAGTAGCTGAACTCTGTAGTGTTGGTAGGGGTGAACAGACCTGTCTTCATGGGACTAATAGCGCAGATATAATCCGTGCATTTGACTTATGACAAGGTTAAAGCAGAAATACGAAAAATTAAAGTGACATCTTGAAAATTACAGTTTGTAGTTTGTGTATTGGAGAAAGTTGGAAACTCCAGTTATTGCTTAACTGAACTAAAATATGTAGACCTTTTCGGTTTTTTTCTTCATAAAACCCCCTCCACATTATTACTAACCTTTGACCTAGGAAACTGGTTTTGTAACCAAACCCAGTAAATTACATAGGTCTTAACCTGTCATGGTACAAAACACAGAAGAACACACAGTTTCTTTTTTTGCCTGTTATTTGTTGGATCAGTCAGGCATGATTTGCCCTTGGGGAAGCCATGTTGGCTGTTTTGAATCACCTCCCTATCTTCCATCTGCTTCAGGTCTTCCAGGAGTCTCTGTCCTATGATCTCACTGGGCACTGAGGTGAGGCTGACTAGTTGATAATTCTCAAGGTCCTTCTTTCTACCCATTTTTAAAAGGGTGCAGTATTCCTTTTCTTCCAGTTACTGGGGACTTTCCCTGACTGCCCCGACTTTTCAGGTATGATGGAGAGTGGATTGGCAGCTACATCAGCCAATTCCCTCAGCAGCCTGGGATGCACCTCATTGGCTCCCATAGACTTGTGTATGTTCAGGTTCCTCAGATGGTCTCCAGTCTGATCTTCTGTTACAGTGAGGGGAACTTCATTCCCCAAGTCCCTGCCTTGAAGTTTAGGAACTTGAGAGATGTAAAGAGTATTTACCAGTGAAAGTGAGGCAACCCCCCCCCCACTATTGACTGCCTTGGCCCTCTTCCTGTCAGCTGTCACTAGTTCTCCTGTCCTGTTTATGGGGGTAGAGAGGAGGGTGGGGAAAGCAGTAGATTTTCTTCAGTCTTCCTTTTCTGACCAACATATATGTAAGGAGCCATTCTTACTATTCTTTGTGTCTGTTGCTAAATTCAGATCCAGCTGTGCCTTAGCTTTCCCAGTCCCATCCCTACATATCCAGGCGGCACCCCTCTGTTCTTCCCAGGACATGTGTCCCTGGTTCCACTGCCTGTGCATATCCTTCTTATGTTTTAATTTGACCAGTCATGCCGGTGTCCTGCACTCCTTACCTGATTGCTTACACATGGGAATTGAGAGCTTTTGTGCTCCAAGAAAAATGTGCTTAAAGAGCAGCCAGCGCTGTTCTGCTCCTTCATCCCTGAGGGCAATTTCCGTGGGAGCCCCCATCTTGTAATTCCCTAAACAACTGGAAGTTCACTTTCCTAAAATTCAAGGCCTTGGCCTTACTCTTCACCTGGCCAGTATCCCTGGAGATTCTGAATTCCAACAGGGCATGATCACTCCAGCCTGGGCTGTCTCCACGCTTGACCTCTCCAATTAGTTCATCTGGTTTGGTAAGCAACAGGTCCAGTAATGCTGCTCTTTTGCTTGGGTCATATGTCACCTGCATTAAGTTGTTATCCTCAATGCTGTTATCCAAGTGTCCTGGACTGCTTACAGCTTGCTGAGCTGCTTTCCCAGCAGATGTCAGGGTGACTGAAGTCCTGCAGCCTACGAGCGTGGTGTTTCCTGCAGTTGAAGTAAGAACACTTCATCAGCAGGCTCCCCTCTGTCAGGTGGCCACAACAAACACTAGCCATTAGGTTTCATTTCTTGGCTTGGCCTCTAATTTTCGCCCACAAGCTTTCAATGTGTTCGTCGCTGTTTTCCAGGGATAGCTCTGTGCAATCAGTCCATAGAGGGCTGCTCCTTCCTGCCCTGTCCGTCTGAACAGTTTATAGCCATTGATTGCAGCACTCCAGTCACGGAAAGAGCTTTTCCTC